TGGAGCTGGGCCATGCTTCTTGACTCCGTTGCTCTGCACCAGAGCCGCCATGATCGCCGTCTGCACCGTGCCGAACTCCGTGCTCATCGCAATCGTGACTTTCGCCTGGCCTGGCTTGCCATCCTTGACGTTGGCTGCTTTGCACTTGCAGTACATCACGTTGCCCAGAAGGTCGACTGGTGTCTTGCCCTCCGACACCGCCTCTCTCGTCCAGATCTCCGTCAGGCACTGCTTTTTGGTCGGCTCGAGCTCGATCTGGGTCTGCGACAAGCCCAACATGGGGCATGCGAATATGTGCACGTACGGCGGGCCAAGGCGTTCTTGAGCGGCAGGGTCTTCTTTTGCCGTCTTGGCTGCCTCGTGGTAGGTCTTGCATTGCGCCATCATCTCGACTGCGACGTGTGACTTTGCGTCGACGAGCACCGTATTCCACAGCATGCCTGTGATTTCCTTGATCTCGGCCGCGTTCGTCAAGCTGAGCTTTGTGAGGACGGTGAGCAGCTCTGACGTCCTCTCCTTTTGTGAGCAACTCTTGGATCTGCACCTTGCGAGCTGGTCCGTCTGAGCCTGAGCTGGATTCGGCACCTCTCTTCAGTCCCCAGGCTGGGGCGGCTACGGCAAAGGACACTGCGGGATCGATATGGCCGCGTCGAGACCAGCTCCGATAGTATTTTGAATGGTGGCACGTGGCTCTGCACATGCTCCTGTAGCTGCTCAAAGGCTTGGGCCCGAACTTCACACATATGGCAGTCTACCCGATCAGGATGTTGTCGCCCCCCGATGTATCTCGAGCGGTCAATGCAATGCCCACCTCTGGCCACGCTCGAGAGAAGATGTCGCTGCGCGGTCTTCACACATCCGAAAACGAAAAGGCAGAATGGGCATACATTCGTAGTAGCTGTTCTAGTCCACACATCACGTTGTCCATGTTTGGTCATCCAATGGTGTGTACCTGCCTTAGATGTGTCAAACCAAGCTGTGCATACTATTCCGTTTCCCAATAAGAACCCACATTTCCATTGTCCTCCACTTATGTGTGTAGTAGCAGTGGTAGCTGTTTGAGTAGGCAACTGGCATGGGTGCCATTCTGGTGACGCTACGGCTGACATGTAAACTCCTTTTTCGTAATATTGTGAAGTCTTGATTAATAAACCCCTCCTTCACCTCCTCATCGGTAAACACCTGTGTCCACCCCGCACGAATACACATCCCAAGATACCCGCCCTCCTCACCAAGCCCATCTACTCCCTCAAGTACATCCTCACGAAGTTGGGCTGCCCACGGATTTGCATCGTTTTTTCAGGTCTCCCTGAATCGGCGTCGGTTCGTCCTCAAACGAGAAGTGACCGAACATGGAGGTAAGAATCTGGCCATTCCTCCACTGGTGGGCGATAGAGGTTGATTTAAGGCGTCTTATCGTTAAAAGTGAAGCTATCGCTCTAGACATCTTCAAGCAGTGCGGATGTAGATTTTGGTCGCGGAACCGCTCGAATACTCAGAAATTGCAGTTTTGCCTGCGGCATCCTCAGGCAAATCAGATGATGAAGGGCTGGTTTAAAACTTCCCATCGTTCAGCATGAAGCTTTCGCTCGAGACAACCCTGAACAGGTGGAGATGTTGGAATTGCTTGTGAATGTAACGCATCTTCAAAAAGGGGGCTTCCGGTGGAAACATCATCAAGTTTTCGACTTCGGAGTGGACCCTGAACATCCTTCAAACAAGGACATGGTGAACTAGCTGTGTCGCTGCCGTTGCTAAACTAGGACATCTTATGTGACGGGAAGCGCTGTTTCGTTATCCTCATCATCATCGACAGCATCGTCGGCATCGGCATCACCATCGCCATTGCAACTACCATCATACAACACACGTGCGCGATGCAATCCATAACACATTCCACGCACAGAAGACACAACACGCCCCCCAGCGCCCGAATGTACATATACCTACTTACACCACGCAAACCAAACCCACACCACTCGGACTAAACACAAAACGTTCGCACACCGCGCGCAGGCACACGCACAACGTGCTCCAATCCTGCCCGCCCGCCCCGTACACACCCAGCACGCACGCCGTTCCCCTCCCCCCCCGCCCCCTCGGCACACATCCTGCAAAGGTGCGTGCATGTCTTTGGCGTTGGTTAAAAGGTCGAAAAAGCAGCTGCAGCGCGCGCGCGCGCGTCGAATCACGCGTGGACATCAAACGCGCGCGCACTTACGCACACAGCCGCACATACACAGGCACACGCACACACGCACACGCGCTGGGTGCAGCCTCCAGCACGGGTGCTCGAGAGCCAGCTTGTGGGCTCCTGCGTTTCAGAATGGTGCGGCGACTGACACCCCAGCTCTCGTAGCATCGAAAGTAGAAAACAAGAACACGCACACATGCGCGCACACATGGACACATTCTCACACACACAAACACACACAGACACACACACACACACACACACACACGTACACCGACCACGCGCAACATTTGGCAAACGCAACCGCAGGCAACCATTCCACGCCCCGCCAGCACAGACACACACACACACACACCGCACGCACGTCGTGCACCCCCCCGCCCCCCCCGCCCCATACACACCCCGCACGCACGCCGTAGACTGTCCCCGCCACCTCGGCGCACCCTGCCTGCACAGGTGCGCGATCACACATGCACACAATCACACAGCCACAGACACACACACACATATTTTTTTTGGTCTGCAGGTCGAGAGCGAGCCTCTTCCGGTTAAGAGCTAGGCGGGCCGCGCAACACACACACACACACACACTTTGCGTCGGCGGCTGGGCAGAAGGATTGCGCTGGCGGATAGGGCGTCGTAGGGTAAACGAACGCGAATTAGGCCGCGATGCACGAGGGGAAAGGAGGACGCCCGGCGGTGGCGGAAGGGAGGCGGGAGCGGGGCCCGCCCAGAGCAAGGCCAGCCGCGCGGCAGGGCGGCGCCGGGGGGTGGGGGCCAGCAGCAGTGGGCAGCAGTTGGCAGGGGGGAAGCCAGCAGGGCGGGCTGCCAGGCAGCAGGCTGAGCTGCGGGCACACACAGGCGCACTCGCATACGCACGGGGCGCAGCCTCCAGCACGGCGGCTCGAGAGCCAGCTCGTGGGCGCCGCAGCACCGCGAGCCTGCGCTGCCAGAGACTGGCGCGGCGACTGGCACCTTTGCCCCCAGAAGTAGTGCCGAAAGCACCAAAGACACACGCACACGCGCACCACACTTGCACACATTAGCACACACGTGCATAAACAGAAACGCGCAACACCTGCCCAAAAGAAACCGCAGGCAACCACTAAACACAAGCTAGCAGTGGTCACCATCTGGGCATTAAGGGAAGCCCAGCGACTGCACCCGCAAACATGCGCATTGGGTGCTAATCCATGCGCGCGTTCGCACGCAAGCTCAGAGAAACGGCGCGCCCCGTTCTTGTCCGGATATGTTTGTGAAACATTGCCGTTTCGCTAGGGACATTCTCAAAACATCGATTCTAGAGGGGGCTCCGAGCCAACACCATCTTCGAATTGCTCCCAGAGGCTTCCAATACGGCCCGAGACAGCCCCCAAAGGCTCCCAAGAGGACCCCCGAAGCGCCCCGATTGACTCGCAAGAGGCTCCCATGAGGTGTCCCACAAGAGCGCCCGAAGAGGCTCGCATACTGTCCAAGAGAGCCTCTAAACTGCCCAAGAGGGCGCTAAGATGGTCCACGGGAGCCCCCGCAGAATCTGGAGACGCGCGTGGCCAGCCGATGAGGGCCCAAGAAGCTGCCAGAGTTCCCCCAAGGGGCCCCCAAGAGGTTGAGGTTCCACAAGGCACCCAGAAGCTCCCACGAGCGCCCGAACGGGCTCCCATGCTACCCACGAGAGCCCCAAGACGGCCCGAGAGTCCACGCGCTCGTCTTCCCGGTTCTCCTCCTCCACGTCCGTGTCTCCCCCCCTAACCCTCCGCTGCGTCCTCGCTCTCCCGCGCATCCTGCATGGCTCCGCTCGACGCCCGCCCAAGCGAGCCGCACGGCCACAGGAGTGGCGGTCCCCGTGCTTGTCCGAACAGGTTCCGCGAAGCAGTGGCAGCAAAAACAGTGTTGCCCGCAGCAGGAAGAAAGCACGCGCAAGTAAGGCAGGCCGCATGGTTGCGCAGTGCAGCGAAGTAGAGTACCGTATTGCAAAGCGGGCGCCGACAATACATGTTTCGGTTGAGACTCACGGGGCGACGTTACAGCAGGCGAGGATGCAATAAGGCGAGCGGCAATGTAGGCAAGAAGTGCGGGGGGCTCTGACACTGCAGGAAAAACAAAGCAATACAAAGCAAGGCAGCACTCGGCACCGCAAAACAATATGATGCAGCGAAATGGCAGGCCAACCTGGCAGCGCAGAACACTTTTGGACCCGTGTTGCAAGGTAGTGCAGGGCACTGGAGGCCGCGCAGAGTCAGGACAGCCTTTCGATCGTATTGCAAGCCGAGGTCCGGAGAATAGGCATGCAGTCCTGGGTACGGACGCCTTCAAGTTTACGGGGGCGGCGCAGTGCCACACGCAGCGCCAGGGCGGAGACTCGGCGAGACCACCCGGCTCGAGGCGGCGGTGCAGGGCAGCCCACCCAGGGCGATGCGGGGCGAAGTCGTGCAGGGCCCGGCGCGGCGGATTCGCACAGTTCCTGTTGCCGTGCAGTGGAGGCCGCCTGCCCCCCCTGAGCTGTGTCGGGCCCCCGCGTCGTGGATCTGCCTGCGGGCGCCCGCGTGCCCGCTGCCCGTGGTCGTGCTGCTGGGCCTGCTGCTCCTCCCGCCCCTGCTCCCGTCCCTGCTCCTTTTGGGTGTGCTCGTCCTGCCCCTGCTCCCCGTCCGCCCCACAATCCTTTCCATCGCCCGCCCTCTTGCCTCTCACTCTTTCTTCGCCTTCCCCCCATCCTGCCCCTCATCCCCCCGCTTCTCCCCCCTCGCCCTCCCCCCCCCCCCTTCCGCCTCATCCTCACTCTCGCGGTTCTGAGCGCCCTACTGTCGAGGACTGTCCCAACCGCGGGAAGCCGGGCTTCGTGGAGCTCTGCGGTGACTTCAAAAGGGGCACGTGTACCCGCGGTGGGGGAGTGGATCAGTGGGGAGCGGGGAACGAGGCGGAAGAAGAGGAGGGGAGGAGGGGGAGGAGGGGGAGCAGGACGGGGGACGGGAGAGCGAGGAGGGGTGGGAAGGTGAGGGAGGAGGAGCATGAGGAGGATGAACGGGAGGAGGACCCAAATCCGAAGCCAAATCGAGTCGTCAACGAACAACCGAAAACGCGCGCTAAATTTGAGACGACGCTGAGCCAAGCCACCGACACCGAATCGGGGCGGTCGAGCGAGAACGCCAGCAGGCCTGGCCCGAGTGGGCTGCCTGCGCGGCACTACGACGGGCAGAGCGCATGGCTTCCCACGCGCCGATCCCTTACGGTGAGCGGCGTGGACTCACCCTGCACCTCCGGCGGAGGAGGATGAGGAGGAGCAGAGGGCGAGCAAGCGGGGCGGAGGGGGGAGACGAGCGGCACCCCCGTTTTGGGGTGGAACCCCGACAGCAACTTGGCCAGAGCAGCCACCTTTGCCTTCTTGAGGCGCTTCTCCTTCGAGATGCTCAGGCAGACCTCTCGAAGCCTGCACTTTGGGGTCACGCGCAAGCGGAGTCAGAAGGAAGCACCGCATCGGCAGACGAGTGCATGCCCGACCTGCACCACCTGGTGGCATCTTTCGGACAAGCACTGAAGCTAAGAACACAAATGGTTGCACGAATGTAGGGCCAGTCGTGTTCAACCCTCGGCTCTCGCCTTAGCGCGGTGCGCACGCGTTTTCAAAGCTTCTGTCAGCTGACGGATCGAGGCCGGTTGGATTTCAAAATGCGACGCTCGTTGTAGACATGTCCATCAGTTGCAATGATGGGGGCCGGGTTGTTTTCAAAATGGGGACCTCGGTGGCTATTTCTTCCAGGACTTTCTCAAACTCGATGTCCGGAAGTGCCAAAGTGTGCAACAGTGACTCGGATGGAGGGCTGCTCCCCTTTTTCAAAATGGAGCTCTCGCTTGAGAATTTCTCTGGGACCACCTCAAGCCCGATAACCCGAACTTCCGAAGTGTTCAACAGTGACTCGGCTCCTTGTCAAAACCGGGATCTCGCTTGAGACCTCCGCGAATATGACTGACCATATGTTCGAGAGTGTGCAGCACTCAGAAGGGTGGATGACCGAGCTTCTTAAAAGCACACGCCTACATCTTTGCGTCAATGGCAGCTTCAAGGGTGAAAGGCAGATCTCTTACAGCGCGGGGTCCCGTCGTGGAGACCAACACTCGGCAGGGACTTTGGGGTGGCGGGGGCGTGGGAGGGCGGGTGGGTGAAGGGCACCATCGTTGATGCATCGCGGATCTACTTATTGCCCTCCTCCTCCTCCTCCTCCTCCTCCTCCTCCTCCTCCTCCTCCTCCTCCTCCTCCTCCTCCTCCTCCTCCTCCTCCTCCTCCTCCTCCTCCTCCTCCTCCTCCTCCTCCCCCCCGGAGGCTCGATTTGCCGCCCTCGCCCCGCCCGGCTTGAGCCTCGAAGCGCTCTGTTCTGTTTCGGGGCGGGGCGCCGCAGACGGTGACCCTGGGGCAGACAGCCAAGGGCTCCCCGCCCCCCCCCCGAGAGGTGCAGGTGTTTGGTGGGGACGACGGTGATGAGATGGGGGAGGAAGGGAGGGAGGGAGGGAGGTGGAGGAACAGGGGGAGGGGACGGGGAGGGGGGGAGGGAGGGGGAGGGGGGGAGGACAGGCTAGGTGCGCTCGCGTCATATCTGACATCCTACCCCTCCCTCCCATCCCTTACCATGGCGTAGATCCCCTCTCTACCCGCATAGTCGGATGTCGAGCAGGGCAATGATCCCGAAAGGGTACGCGATGCACTGTAGAGCACGGCATGGCATGGCGTAGAAGAGCACCGCAAAGCGTTGTATGTCACAGCATGGCGTGGCGTGGCGTAGTGAAGAAGTGCATCACAAAGTTTTGCAACGCAAAGCATGGCATCGCACAGCGGCCCCGAACATGACATTGCATAGCATGGCGTTGAATATCAAAGCGTAGCATGGCATAGCACGACGTGGCACTTGAGCACTGCATATCACAGCTTCAGCTGAAGGCATGGCATCGCGCAGCGGAACGCAACCCAGCATTGCATTGCATACCGTGGCATGACACGGGAAATGACGCCAGCGCTGCAGCGGGAGCACGATTCGGAACGAGCGGAAGCGCGGGAATGCGCTGCAGCGGGAGCACGATTCGGAACGAGCGAAAGCACGGAAACGAGGCCACCGCTGCAGCGGGAGCACGATCCGGAACGAGCGGGGCCCGAAAATGAAGCCGTCGCCTCAGCGAGAGCAGCATTTTGAACAAATTCAGGCGAAAGCCCAATTCCGGGGAATGCTGTGTGTAAAAAACAATACGCGGGGGGTGGGGGTGGGGGCGAACACTCCCAACCCGTCATCAGGGGAAGGAGGAGAGTAGTAGTCATATTGAGTAATTGTGGAGGAGGAGGAGGAGGCCGCTGGTTGTGCTTGAGCTGTGGCCGCAGCTGCTCGACTCGAGCCAGGCTGGTGCACGACAGGTGCCCTGGGGTCATGGCGAAGCTGGCTCAGGCACATTGGTCTCACAGGCTCTTGTGCTCGGGTGGTCCTGGCGGTCTTGTGTGGTGCAGTGTGTGCGGGGCGTATGCCAGACGGCAGATTTTGGCCCTCGCGGATCGCTGTGCAGGACACCCCACAGATGGCCGAGCACGGGCCTTGCGCCAATTAAAGCAGGGGCTGGACCCCTCCTCCAAGCGGCCCATCCCCCGCTCTTGCCCCGTGCAGCCCCCTCTCCATCCCCGCCGCGTCGGGTGGGCTCGGGGGCTGTATGAGGTCTTGGGCGAGAGGCGGGACATCCGCTGGGAGGATTCGGAGTAGGGAGCCTGGAGTGTGTAGGCAGTCCTGAGGCTTCCTCGGCGTGTAGTGGAGGCGTTCGGATTGCGGTGGTTCCCTCGGGGGCCGCCGTCAGAGGAGCGGAAAGCGGAAAGAGGAGGGGGTGGAGGAGGGGGGAGGGAGAAGAGGAGGAGGAGAAGGAAGAGGAGGAGGAGGAGGAGGAGGAGGAGGAGGAGGAGGGGGAGGAGGAGGAGGATCGGCCCACCGAGGGGGCGCGGTCGTGGCCAGAGACACGCCGCGGCCCTTGTGACCGAGCCTTCTACTTCGGGCGTGCACGCTTGGCTTTGCATGCTTTAGGGTAGGAGGAGGAGGAGGAGGAGGAGGAGGAGGAGGAGGAGGAGGAGGAGGAGGAGGAGGAGTAGGAGGAGAGGAGAGGAGGAGGAGGAGGAGGAGGAGGAGGAAGAGGGAGGAGGAGGGAGACGGAGGAGAGGAGAAGGAGGAGGAGAGGAGAGGAGGAGGAGGGGGAGGGGGAGGAGGAGGAGAGGAGGAGGAGGAGGAGGAGGAGGAGGAGGAGGAGGAGGAGGAGGAGGAGGAGGAAGAGGAGGAGGAGGGGAGAAGGAGGAGGAGGAGGAGGAGGAAGGAGAGGAGGGGGAGGAGGAGGAGGCAGGAGAGGAGGAGGAGGAGGAAGGAGAGGAGGAGGAGAGGAGGAGGGAGGGGGAGCAGGGAGAGGGGAGGAGGAGAGGAGGAGGCGGAGGAGGAGGAGGAGGAGGAGGAGGAGGAGGAGGAGACGAGGAGGAGGAGGAGGAGGAGGAGGAGGAGAAGGAGGAGGAACAGGAGGAACATGAGAAGAGGAGGAGGCGGAGGAGGAGGAAGAGGAGGAAGAGGATGAGGTTAGGGGTCTCCAGCACCTCTTGCGTGCAGCTGTGTTCGGCTGCCCCGCTGCGCGCATTCCTCGGTATACATGGTCTCCCACGGCTTTTCGGGCCGCCGGGAGAGTTACCTGCGTGCAGGGAGTGTCCCTCCTCCTCCTCCTCCTCCTCTTCCTCCTCCTCCTCCCCCTCCTCCTCCTCCTCCTCCACGTGACGGGATCCCCCCACCGTCTTTCCTGGCCGTTTCCGCCGAGTTCGACCCTTCCGGGTCGATTTCCGATTGAATCTGCTCTGATTAGTGTGCAACGTTGCATGGGCGATCGCTCAACACGTAGCGTCTCCTGATGTGCCGCTCTCCTGCTCTTGAGTGGATCCCGTACCATGTCTCTCGCGTCTCTTCTCATTGCCACATCGGGCGATATAATCGAATGTCACAGCAACTGCAATCCAACTTCGGCAGCCTTAATGTCAATCCTCGGATGAACATAGAGCGCGCCTTTTGTTGCGATGCCTGCGTCTATTGTACTGTACGGAAAGTATTGGAAGACCAGTCGTATCCGAGTTCGTTTGCGGTTCGAATGCGAGTCGCATGTGACTTTATTTCAACCGCGATGATTGCCCTTGCGATGCAGGATGTTTGACGGATTATTCCCACGCGATTCGATGTTCATCAGCGTCAGTTGCTGTTTCGTTTGTGTGTGTGGTGAAAATGAAGTAGTCGGGCCGTCATCCCTGATTTTCTGTGGAAGGACCATAGGGAAACCATCGAGGCGGCATTCCAGAAATCCCGAATTATTTCCAACGGTCCAACGGGATCTTGCAATCACCACCACGACGCCACCACGCCGCGACACAACCACGACGCCGCCATGACAGCATCGCCACACAATTACGACATAATCGCGACGTCACGCCCCACCCCATCCCGCCACATAGCCCGCCCCAGCAGCAGGACACGTGTAAGGCCGAGCCTCAACATCAAGGCAGCTCTCGTACAGCCTCGGACTCATAGCACGAAACGCGAAACTCGGCGCGAAGCAATATGCCTCGGCTCCTCTCGCAGTGCAGGTCTGCTGTGGCATTGCTCGCCCAGGCTGCGGAATCGAGAGGCACGACAAGTCATTGTTTGCTCAGGCGTTCGGGGTGACATTGCCTCACGCTAATCTGCAGATGCACTCTCTCAGCCGCTTGTCTGTCAGTGTCTCGCCCTGTTCTGTGTCGGTAGCGTTATTGGTCTCATCGCGCACGCACTTCGCAGCCCATTAAGTTCACGCCCACTGCAAGTTCTTCAAGGCTTAGCACGGTTTTCTCTGGGTGTCGGATGCTGCCCAACTTCTATCTGGGGGGAGGCTCGGCGTGCCGCTTCTCCCACGGTGACGCTGCTGGCGGGGGTGACCGCGGCGGCGGCAGCCGCGGAGGAGCGCGGGGGCTGGCTGACGCAATAGGGGGGGGGTCGACCGAAGGACATCTTGAGGCCGAGGTTGAGGGTCGAGACCCGCCCCCTCCAGCCTGAGTAGCTTCGCCTCGATCAGGGCCCCCCTGCCGCCCCTGGGACTCGTTTCGGTCGATTTCGCCGCTGCGAGTTGCTGGCGGAGGGTCCAGTCCGTTGACGGGCTTCTCTCACCTCTCATCCTGCTGCGTGAAGGGGGGTGTCGGGGACTGGTCCGGGATCGGTTCAACCGTGCTGCCAGCTCGGCCGGCGTTCGCGTCCGATCGCCGTCACAGCCGCGGGCGGCCGTGGCGGGAGAGAGAGAGAGAGGGGGGCGGGCGACCGACGGAGGCAGTGCACGGGAGCGGGGCCGCGGGACCCGCCCCCTTTCAGCTGCGCCTCGCCGACGGGTCTCCCTGGGCGCCACGGCCCTGGGACGGGGCGGGGGGTTGCACTTTCGAGACGCCCTGCGCTGCTGCAGCACCGCTCAGGCGTTGATGGGAGGACCGCTTTGGGCTCAGGAGAGGCTCGGGCTTCTGTCGCCGGCCCAGAGGTTGACACCAACACCAAGGTGGGCGGTGTGCCTCCACCGAGGGAAGGAGATCCCGATCTCGGTGATGGTGGCAATATTCTGGCTTCCGAGGTGGCCGAAACATTGCCACCCTCACCGAAGTCCAGAATCATCTCCCCCCTGTGGAGGCACCCCCCTGCGTTGGTGTTGGGGCCCATTTCTAGGCCTCCGGCAGTACCGTTCGGGCGCTGATAGACGGACCGCTTTGGGCTCAGGAGAGGCTCGGGCTTTTGGGCCGTTCCGTAGATCTAGGCCGGGGAGCCTGCTCGTGGAAGAGGCCCACCCTGGCCACTGAGAAGGACCACATCGTTCCTTGCGCGGCGTTCCTCCGGGCGGTGCCACGAGTTGTGCTTCGCACGAGTGCCCCCCTTCCCGTGTCGCCCCCCCCCCTCCCCTCCCCGTGCCCCCCTCCCCGTGGCATGATTGTACTTCTGGCAGTGCCCCCCCTCCCTCCCCCCCCCCCCTCCTCGACCGCTGCTCTGGGCAGGATCGGGCAGGATGGGCAGGAGAGGGGGGCTCCTCCTCCTCCTCTCCTCCTCCGCCTCTCCTCCTCCTCCTCCTCCTCCTCCTCCTCCTCCTCCTCCTCCTCCTCCTCCTCCTCCTCCTCCTCCAGTCCCCGAGCGAGCCTCCCGCTACACAGAGAACTGTTAGTTCAGATTCCAGGCGGCAAGCCGCCGACCAGGGGGCCCTCAGAACTCGTCCTGGAGGGCCTTTGCGGGGAAGGCCTGCACGATGGTCTTGGCCAGCTTCACCTTCACCGTGACGTCTGTGCCAAATATTTCGCGCTTTCCGTGGTCGACTTCTTCTGGCGGATTTTTTACATTCGGGGAGCAAATCATGGCATAACACAAACTTTCGGAGGTGCTGGAGCCACCTCCCTGGCGAGCAGAGCGCGCCAGGGGGCGTCTGTGGCGCCAGGGGGCTCCAAGGTCGATCCAAGAGATCCGCGCGGACCTCCGAAAGTTCACCTTTCTGCCTCTGTTTGCTCCACCCCATCCCAACCCGATCCCCCGGCATTTCGGCGCACCCCTCTTCACACGTCGTGTCCCCATAGAGAGCTCCACCGGAGGCCCAAGTGGCAGCGCCCGCACGCGGTTCCACCCTCAATCTCGGCGCACCCCGCACACGTTTCGTGGTCCCACAAGGGGGCTCCACAGACGGCTCCAGTGACAGCGCCCGTATGGCGTAGTTACCCGTGCCCGTGTTGGCACACAAGTCACACGCGCCGTGGCCCCATATAAAGAGATTCGCCGAGGACGATACCCACAACTGCGTTGCTCACGACTGCACATGGTTGAGTCTCTCGTCTCTCGCCGAAAGAATTGTTTTTGGCATCAGTGGGCCCGGCCCCAGGACCGTGAGAAGCGGACCTGGGATGAAAACCCATTCCCGGGGAAGTCCCCCGCGCGATTGCTGAGGGCCTTGCGGCGGGCGCGGCCGACCAGGAAGGCAGGACCTCCCCCGTGGCCCCCGCTGGCGACCCCCCGCGGGACTCGCCGGGGGGGGGGGCGGTCTCTTGACCCGGGACCCCTCCCCCCTTCCCACCCCCCCTTCGCGGCAGGGGTTGGGAAAAGGGAAGAGAGAGTCGCATGTTCGACTCGGTTATGACGTTCCTTCGCCCTGTGGTCTCCAGGTCCCTCGAGACCTGCGACGATGGCGACGACGACGACGACTCAGACGGGAAAGCGTCTCCCACACGCCGAAGGGTCGGCGGATGTTTCGACACGACTTGCCACTATTGCGCTACTGTGGGGGCGTTGATCAAGGAACGTGCCCAGGAGGCTTCAGACCCTGGAGGGTTCCTTATCTGATGAGGGCGGCGGTGACATCCATGGTCAAGCCTCGACTGGAGTGCCACCGGTCTCCAGATCCTGGATTCCTTTTTCGAAGGGTTCCTTGACCCAATGCCCCCTACCGTGCTTGTCCAGGGGGTACACATGAGTCTTGGGCGCTGGCGGAGTGCTGGTCTGCCACTCCACATGGGAGCGTCTGTTCGCGCCTGCCGACAGCGCCATCCGTTGCCACTCGCACCGCGGAGGGAACCCGAGGGGGGACCCGGTACGGTGTGGGCGTTGGATAAGGAATGTCCTCCGAGGGGCCAGGCCCTGGCGCATTCCTTCCTGCGTCGAGGGGGGATGGGCGGCCCGCGTCTTTTCTCCCATCGGTCGCGAGACCCTGGGTTCCTTATCCAAGGGATCCTGATCAAAGACCTCCGCCGTAGTACGAGCGCAGGCGGGCGAGGAGGGCGCGTGCGGGCAGAAGCGGAAGCACGCGGACGGAATCGCAAGCGAGCGGGATTTTTGATCGGGCCCTCTCTGCGAACCGCCGGCCCGCGTGGCATTGATATGCTTGTTGCGCTCTGAGAGGGCAGAAAGACAGTCGCAGTTTTCAGCGATGAGAGGGTGTGGAGGCGAGGAAGGGCAGATAGGGGGTGGAGGTATCCGTGACTCGTGTTGATGATCTCCGCTTCTCCGTCGCCGCGTTTTCCCGTTCGGAGTTGCTCTCCCCCCCACACACACAGACATCATGCATCTCTTGCGATGACGACTAGCAGCTTGCCTGACAGTGGGGGGGGATCGAGAATGATGAGGAGCATGACTATGAGGCCAGGATTCGACCCTCCGAGGGCGGAAGGGAGGGCATCGGCTCCCTCTGCGGATGGCGACGTGGCGTGGAAGCGAAGCCATGGTGTCTAGCTGCAGAAGCGGGCAGGGACGGTGCAGTGGAAAAACTGTCCACCGGGCCGCTGCCGCGACCCTCACAGACTGAGGAAGAGGAGGTGGCTGCTCGCGTCCGTCTCGCTCCTGTCTCGCTCCTAGTGTGTTTCCGGGCACCTCTCTGGCTCTACATATCTGGGAGAGGTACGGCCAAAAAACAAACGACACCACCTCACCTACGGCCCTCCATGTTGCGCTACGGCCCATCGGGGGCCGTAGCATATGTCAGATGTCCTGGTATACGCTACGGCCCGTGGGGCCGTAGGTGGGGTGGTGTCGTTTGTTTTCTGGTCCAGAGGTGGCATCGCGCAGTGGCGCACGGAACCCGAACGCAACGAGCATGATGGGGATACTTAGGCGGTCAGAGGCTTTGTTCAGCGTGTCGCGTCTCCGGTTCAAGCGCACCATGCTTCGGCGCGACACGCTAACCACGTCCCGGTCCCCAAGCGTCAACGTCCCGAGCCTTTCCCAGCCTCCCGCCCCACTGGGCAGAGCGACGCGCTATCCGCTTGCAGGGCATAGCGTGACGCAGTGGCCGTCGCCTCGACAAGCTAAGCAAAAGCTCCCGACCGTAATCGCGGCCAGGGCTTTTGTCATGACGCCCTGTCTGAGATAAAGGCTGATCCCTGGTCTTCTCAGCGTGCCAGTGCCACCCATGCGCCGCCCCAAGAGAGCGGCGGCTAGTCCGCGGAGGTGACCAGACGCCCCTGAAGGCCTCTCGATCTGGCGTTCCGTAAAAATGGGGGGCGATGAATGAGGGGATGATTGAGGGCTGGTGGAAAGGGACCATACAGGGCCCTCGTGGGGCCCTGAATGCACCACCTCTGCTTATCCCCTCCCGTGAAGCAACGCCAGGATGAATGAGGGGATGATTGAGGGCTGGTGGGAAGGGACCATAAAGAGCCCTCGTGGGGCCCTGAATGCACCACCTCTGCTTATCCCCTCCCGTGAAGCAACGCTCGACCAGAGGCGCCTCCGGGCGCCAGGCCCCAGAGCGCCCCCCAGAAGCTCGATCCTCGATTCTCCAGCCTCCTCGATCCTGGAAGTGAGGGTGCGAGGATGATCGCGCGTCGCGGTCTGGGTCAGAGCGGCTGCCCTTCTCCAAGGGGTCGGTGAGGGGGCGGGATGACGCGAAGGCAGGTGACCTCCCCTTCCCCCTGGGAAAAGTAATGCAGCTGTTCCGGATCGTGTCGAAAAACCGTCCAGGGGACTTCCTGAGGGTCGTTTTCATCCCAGGTCCGTCCTTGACGGTCCCGGGCCCGAAAACGGCCCCCGGATACCAAAAACTACGAGAAGCAAAAAATCGACCACGAAAACAAGCAGATCGACAATTCAAGTTGCATTACTTTTTCCAGGGCTGTATCTAGGCCTGCCAGATGGTGTCTTAGTAGATGTGGTCGGAGGATCGCGCCGCATCGGCGATGAATACGCGATGCGGCTCGAGGTGGAGCCCGATCTTCTCCACGCGGACGTCGCCGCTGCATCACCGACGTCGCCGATGCAACGCCGAATCATCGACAAGGCATCGCCGACGCATCGTTGAGGCGGCGAGGATCTCCGACCCCGTCCACTCCGACCCCATCTGGGAGGCCTCCAGTGCAGGTCAGAAGCCTCCTCGATCCTCGACCCTTCCCCTCCTCCGCGGCAGAGCCCGAGCGATCGCTCGAAGCGCAGCCGTGCGCGCCCCTCCGCGGCCGCCCCCCCTCGACGGGCGACCGCGGCGAGGGGGGGGCGCGGCCGTGCCCTTGACGAGGCCTTGCCCGTGCTGCTCCTCCCTGTCCTCCTCCCCCCCTGTCCTCCTGCCTGTCCTCCTCCCTGTCCTCCTCCCCCCATGTCCTCCTGCCCCTCGGCCTCCTCCCCCCGCGCTCCTCCTCGCCTCCTCCACCCGAGAGCGGTGGGCGGCCGGAGAGCGCACGGGGCAGGAGACCGCTACGACGACCGCGGCGGGGGCCGCGGCGGCGACCGCTACGATGACCGCGGCGGGGGCGACCGCTACGACGACCGCGGCCGCGGCGGCGGCGACCGGGAGGGGCAGGGGGGCTCCTCGGGAGGGAAGGTCGGCGGCGCCTCCCGAGGGGCGAAAGGCAGAGGGCCTCGATACTCGATCCTCCATCCGCCTCGATCCTCCTCCTCCTCCTCCTCCTCCTCCTCCTCCTCCTCCTCCTCCTCCGCCTCCTCCTCCAAGCTCGCTAAGCAGCTTAGCCTTCCCCTGAAGGAGAAGGAGGGGGCTTCTCGGGAGGCCGGGGGGTGTCCCGAGAAGCCCCGCCGCCTTCTGAGGAGGCCTGCCCCCTCTCCATACCCCCCCTCGGAACGCGCCGCCAAAGAGCGTTCCTGTCTGAAGGCATGGTGGGTCGTCAGCAGTAATGAGCACGCCGACGAGTTCGCCATGGCGGCATGGCACTGATACTGCTCTGGCGTACCCAGCTCTGGGGTCCGACGTTCGAGGACCTTCGTAGCTTTTCCCGACCCTCCCTCTGGCTGGGTCTTTGCTTGGAATGGGGCTCTGCTCGCGCAACTTCGCCCCGCCCACTCATGCCGGCTCCTGCCTCCTGCCTCCTGCATCCGGCTGCTGCCTCCCGCGAGAGTGTCGCCACTTCGGTTCGCTCCCGGGAGGCCCAGCGCAGTGGGGACACTCGCGCACCCAGACTGGACCTGGCGCCTCCATGGGGGTGCTGTCACCTGCGAAACGGTCGCCACTGCAGCAGGCTCCCGAGAGGCCCAGCGCAGTGGGGACAGCCGCGCACCCAGACTGACGTGGCCGCTCCTTGGGGCAGAGGTGCCACTTGCGCAACGGTCGCCGCCCGTGTGAGCTCCTGGGGTGCCCAGCGCAGTTGGGGCATCCGCGCACCCAGACTGGACCTCGCTGCTCCGTGGGGGTGTTGTCACCTGCGCAGTTGTCGTAGTTTTCGTGGGCCGAATGAGGCGCATGGCGCTGCTGCTCTTACTAGTCTGCCTTCCCCTTCCTTTTCCACCCTTCACGTCCTCTTCCCCTGTTCCTTGTCCTCCTCCACTTCTGTGCCTTGCCAGCGGGGCTTCGAGGGACAGCGGGCCGTCCAGCCCAGCCCTTCTGCGGGGAAGGGAGTCGGGTGCCTGGCAGGCTGGGCAGCCTGGAGGTCGAGGACCGTCTGAGGCGGAGCCTTAAGTGACACATGACAAGCTCAGTGGTGACGCACGCCACTCCTGAGGCCATCGTATGCCGATACATGTGCACGATCGGTTTGGGCTATACCCTCAACCCTCTGTTTTGACTTCTCTTGTGCGCTGCCTCTAGGCTAGCAGGAGGGCCCAGGTGGCGCGTCCGCCAAAGTTCGCCTCCTCGATTGCCCCTATGGCGTACCCCTGCTTCGCGCCTCCTTGCCCTCTCGGCCGCCCAGCCCGTTCAGGCAAGAATCTCCCTTCCTACCCAACGATGTTGAGTATTCAACGTCGTCGTCGTCCTTTTTGCGATTTGAGTTGTGCAAGTGTGCGACGCGCGTGGCCCGACGTTCATCTGCGAAGTATTTCAGAGTGCTGCATATCTCGCAATGTGTTCTTTTGAATAGATATTTCATATTATGAGTCGCCTCGCATGGAGAAGGGGTTTATGTACGTCTCGGGTAATTTCGGACGCTCTCGGGCCTCTGAGGGCCTCCCGGGGCTTCAGAGGCCTCCGGATGGTGGCCACTGGGGATCGCCAGTGACCCCCAGGGGCCTCCGGTCGTCGTCCGCCGTCGACGCCGTCAAGGAGGGATGGCTCGGAGCTGCGCCATTATCCCTTCTCGTTGTCGTCCTCTTTTCGTTGTCGTCCTTCGTTCTGCTCGTTGTCGTTGTCGTTGTCGTCCTCTTCGTCCCTCGTTCTGCTCGTTGTGGGCCAGGGCCTTCTCGTTGTCGTCCTCTTCTTTCTGCCGCTCCTGCTCTCAACTCCTCCCCGCCCCCCGCGCCTGCTCGTGCACCAGCCCTCTCCGCTGCCACACAGCACAGACATGCAATCCGCATGGTTTTGCCGTGCTTTTGCGGCCACGCTCGATATAAAGCCGTCTTGGGGGCGCCTCGGAAGCAGCGCTACGATGCTGTCGCATTTCGTGGCTGTGACGCTGCACGCCTGCCGCGTTGCTTCTTGGGGGCTTTCTGGGGACAATCTCTTGGGCCTCTGGGGGGGCCTCTGGAGGGAGCTTCTTGAGGGACTTGGTGACCCTTGGGGCCACCTCGGGCGCCACGGTTGTGTCAAGCGTTTGAGACCGTCTGGATGAGTCTTGGAGATGAGTCTTGGAGCAGTCTTGGAAACATCGTGGGGCCTTTTTGGAACGTTCTCCGGCCGTCTTCGGGGTGGGGTGGGGCACTCTGGGGCTGCCATGTGTGGCTTTCTGCGGCATCTGGAGGGTACGGGGTGGGGGGGCGGGCTCGGGGGCGGTGCTCACACCCTGAGATCCGACGTTGCCAGAAAATTCCCACTATCGCAGAAAGTCACCACCGGAGCCCCAGACCCCATCTTTCTGCGCCATTTTTCAAGCCAGATCGATGTGTGAGGGTCCCGTGGCCCGAAACCGGGGAAATCGGGCCGGACGAAAGGGGGGGATTGGGAAAGGGGGGTTTACGACATTTGCTGCATGCAGCTGGTTTCGGTCCCACCGAGGGGCCCATTCCTCGATACATAGTCGCCTCCAGCGCCGGGAGGCGCCGGGAAAGTCAGCCACGTGAGCTGATTCTCACCCCCCCCCTCTGCTATCCCCTCCTTTCGCCCGACCCGAGGAAAGCGCGCGGTGTGAAGAAACGGCAACGCCAGGATGCCACGCGATCCAAAATACCAACTGGAAGGGAAGGGGGAGGAGGAGGAGGAGGAGGAGGAGGAGGAGGAGGAGGAGGAGGAGGAGGAAGAGGAGGAGGATGAGGATGAGGATGAGGAGGGGGGAAAGGATGAGGTTGAGGATGAGGATGTGATGATGATGATGATGAGGGGAGGAGGAGGAGGAGGAGGAGGAGGAAGGAAAAGGAGGAGGAGGAGGCGCTGGGGCCGCGGCGGCAGGAGCGGGTCGGGGAAGGGCGAGGGAGAGGCGCCGGGGGAAGGGAGGAGGGCGAGGCGCCGGGGCCCCAGGGAGGGGAGGGAGGGAGGAGGATGGAGGAGGAGGAGGGAGGAGGGAGGAGGAGGAGGAGGAGGGAGAGGAGGAGGAGGAGGAGGAGGAGGCGGAGGAGGAGGAGGAGGAGAGAGGAGGAGGAGGAGGAGGAGGAGGAGGAGGAGGAGGAGGAGGAGGAGGAGGAGGAGGAGGAGGAGGAGGAGGAGGAGGAGGAGGAGGGAGGAGGAGGAGGGAGGAGGGAGGAGGGAGGAGGAGGAGGAGGACGGATGTTTGCTCGATGGCGTTCCGTGGGGGGGGGGCAGGGCGAAGTGGTGGAGGTGGCAAGGGGGGACCGCCGACACAACGTCAGGCCTGGCAGCACCCCGCTTGCAGGACGGAGGCCCTGGGCCTCCGGCCCCTGCCAGCCCTGTCGAGAAAGGCCCTGCGCTGCTCACGCCGAGGGGGCGAAGGGACCGGGGGCCTTCAGGACCGCCGCGGGGGCCGGGACGACTACGACGACCGCGGCCGCGACCGCGACCGCGGCGGCGGCGGCGGCCGCAGGAGGCTCCTGCCCGCTTCGCGCACGAAGCAGATCTTCTCAAACGAAAGACGCTCTCTGAGTCAAGCAGTCAACCAGCTGAAGCAATATGTTAGGCTACTCTTACCGGGGTATGTCTACGGTCGGCCCTGATTAGTAGGTCGACCCTGCCAGCTTAAGGGTACCCTTGCGTCCTGTGCCTCGCGACACGTGCCTTCTTACACTCCTATGGCGATGTGGCCTTCGGAAGGGTCTTGTGTCCTCTCGCGTGTCCTCCCCAATCAAGTCCGACTGTATGAGGGAGGACGACTGATAATAGGCATCCGTTCTGAGTTCTTTGGGGTCATCTGGGCCTCGTGAGGGGTGCTCTGGGAGGCGTCTGCGCCTCCCTGGGCCAGGGCCGCTCCCAGCAGCCCCCCGACGCCCTCTCGAGAGGCCCCCCGTCGAGCTCGCCCTCTTCCCGTCGACGTCTCCTCTCCTTCTGCCTCCCTCTCGTTCCTCCTCCTCCTCCTCCTCCTCCTGCCTCCCTCTCGTTCCTCCTCCTCCTCCTCCTCCTCCTCCTCCTCCTCCTCCTCCTCCTCCTCCCTCTCCTCCCTCCTCCTGCCTCCCTCTCGTTCCTCCTCCTCCTCCTCCTCCTCCTCCTCCTCCTCCTCCTCCTCCTCCTCCTCCTCCTCGTGGGTAGGGTTCTGCCTCGTGGAGCTTCCTTGCTGCCGGTGCGCAGGCTGGCGCTCTTCGTGTCGAGCTGCCGTGAGGAGGGCGGGCTTCCTCCGACGAGAAGCATACACAGTTGGTCCTGGGCGGGATCCCGCTTCCGCGTGGCCCTCGTCCCGTGTTCTCCGCCCGCGCCCTCTCTCCCTCTCGTGCACCCTGGCGTGCACGTGCACAATGTGAGTGCTGCTCTCCTCTCTCCCCGGGCCCCGTCCGGAAGATGCGTGGCCCTCTCCGCGAATCGTTGTGGCATGCGGGATAACACGACTTGTTCTGCTTCAGTCCCCCAAAAAGTGCTTGCACTTAGGGATTGCTGAGTTGTTGTCATCTGGGCCTGGGTGATGGTCTGGCGGCTATGTAGTCGCCGTCGCCGCCTTGTCGCGCGGCGGTCTGGCGCCTATGTAGCCACCGCCGCCGCCCCGTCGCCGCATCGTTGCCGCCTCGTCGTCTAGGCTTGACCTGACCGCCTGTCTGGCGGCTATGTTGTCGCCGTCGCCACCCTGTCTCCGCCTCGCATAGGATCCCCCCACTCCCCGGGATTATCCGCCCCCCCTGCGGATGCGGATGCAGCGATGCGGGGGTTCTCGCACCCAGGCCCCTGGAGGGCGGTCGGGCTCGCTGAGAGACGCGTGAAACGAGCATGAGCAGAAGCGACACGACGCGGCATGCTAATCGACCTCTCTGGGCCGGACCCCTGGCGTCAAATTGATCTGACGTGGACGCCTGGACATTCCAAGTGGTACGTACACTGTGAAACACATATGGTGAACAACTGCAAAACTGTTCATAACAACGACGACGACATGACACATTGTGTAATTTAAATTTGATGATGCCCCATCGCTCGTTCGGAATATGATTCCGTAGCATCCCAGCCAAGCTGATTTCCCCCAGCGTAATCCGGTACAAATGATACTATGCGCGCCCACTCGTTTATCACAAATCATCCATTTCAAGAGCCTCCTCCGAACTATGAGACAAGGTCCACACGCGCGCGGCGACGCGCGCGCATGCCTAAATCCTTCATCGACCGTAGTTTCGTAAGCATTTCAAGATCGAGATTCCCGAACACGTATCAAGAATTCTGCCGTGAAACATGCGACTTCCTGCAAAAACCATTTGTTGTTCTTCAACATTGTCCTCACACGCGACCGAGCGGCGCGCGCGTGTCGAAATCATTCGCAGCCTCGTACGCCTGCTGGGGGATTCGGGGGGCACGACCCCTATCAATGATACCATGCGGGCTGCGCGTGCCCGTCGGCCGCGCGCGCATGTCCGAGTCCCTCCAAAACCTTCATCATCAACACGCGGACGCCGTCATCGTCGTCATCGTCGTCAGCGTGATCAGCATCGGCGCCGTCATCGGCCTTGCCGCCGACATCGTCATCGTCGTCAGCAGCTTCGCTACGATCATCATCGTGTCTGCCGCCATGATACCACGCCCGCCCGAATCACCGACTCGCACTGCGAGACGCGCTGGGAAGTCCACAGCGATCAGCTCCACCGCGGCCGCGTCGGTCGCGCCAGAGTAGCTGGCCGCTTTGGGCGCGAGCCTGCGCGCGATAGCGTGGCCTCTGCGATGTGCCAGCCAACCAGCGCCAAGAAGTCATCGCAATCGCCGCCGCATGGTTGCACAGCACAGGTCGCAGCACCCCACAGGCGTCCATAGATTGCACCACAAACGTTGCTCTACGTAGATTGCACACCTTATCGTTCTAGAAACACAGTGTTTGGGGCCCACGCTGACTAACATGTATTCTCTGTGATTCCAAATGGTGTTCCCGCTGCAGCGTGGGCGTCATTTTCGGATCGGCGCTTTCCTCCCGTCGTTCAGAATGGCGCTCTTCCTCTGCGCGCCACTTTTCTGAATTCGAGTCCTTTTCAATCGTCGCCGCCTCCTCATTTTCCTCCTCCGTTCTCACCTCGTCCGTGTGCTCCTCCCGCCCCTTCTGCTCAAGCTACCTGCTGCTGCTGTTCGTCCACGTCCTTCTCCTTCCTCATCCTCTTCCTTTTCCTGCTCCTCCTCCTGCTCGTCGGCAACCTCTTCGAATTTACTCAGGTCTTTTTCCTTTTCCCAATTGCGCATGTATAATACGATGGAGCCCTCCTTAGAGTTACAGGTTCGCTATGACACGCTTCGGCGGATAGAGAAAAACAGCGCAACAGGAAGGGATGAGTTGAAGGGATTGGATGTCAAATGTGGCGCGAGCGCAACTAGCTCCACATGCCATTCTTACTTCTGGCAGTCGTCGCACTCGCCGTTCTCGTTGTGCCCGCGATCGTTTTTGTATCTCTGTGTTCTATCTTGCTCGCTCTTGTGCCCGCCATTCCTCTGGCGGCCAGGTGCCCGCCCTTCCCAGCCAGCCGGCGCTCCAGTTACTCCGATGCGTGGACCCCCAGAAGTCTCGACATTTTGGCCCGTCGAGGGCCCCCAGAGGCCGGAAGCAGCCACAAACCGGCCGCTTCCAATTTTTGTCGGAGCCGCGGATCTCTGGGTCGTGCCCGCCCCTTCCCCTGCGGGGCAGTGCCCGCCCTCCTTCGCCCACAGGTTGCCCGCTCTTCCTCGCCGCCCTCTCCTGCCCACTCTTTCGCCTCCCTGCTGGCAGCCTGCCACGATGTGCCTGTTCCACCCTCCGCGTCGTGTGCCGGCCGCAAGCATCGTGGTCCCGTACGCCTGCCCTTGCCGTCTTGCTTGCCATTTTCGGCGTACTGGTCCCGCCGAGAGTAGCATTCTGGCTGCTTTCGGCCTCTGGGGGCCCTCGCCGGGCCTCAGGCCCGTCGGAAGACGATGGCTCGGGACGAGAGGCCGGCCCTGGGGGCGTGGTCCAGGTGCAGATGCTCAGGGCAGGTTGTTCCGTACCTGTTGGATGCTCAGAGCTGCCATAAAATTCGTTCTCCTCGCCCACGTCACGACCATCATCATCATCATCATCATCATCATCATCATCATCATCATCATCATCATCATCATCATCATCATCATCATCATCATCATAATCATCATCATCATCATCATCATCATCAGCAGCAGCATCATCATCAGCATCAGCATCATCATCATCAGCATCATCATCAGCAGCATCATCATCATCACCACCATCATCATCATCATCATCATCATCATCATCATCATCATCATCATCATAATTATCATCAGCATCATCAGCATCAGCACCATCACCATCACTGCCACCGTCACCATCACCATCACTATCCTCATCATCATAATCATCATCAGCATCAGCATGCTTATCATCAGCAGCTGCATTATCACCACCATCACCAACATCATCAGCATCAGCATCAGCATCCTCAGCATCATCACCCATATCATCTCAGTCATCCTGAGCATCATCACCACCATCATCATCAGCCTGGTCCTCCAGGTCACATGCGGAAGCGCGAAGACAATTGCGCCTCTCGCGTCTCGGTCAGGGCCACAGCGAGTACCGTTCTACAAGGGGTCGGCACGGGTGCAAGAGGGTGCACAGAAAATCGTGCGTCCCTCTCTTTGGGACGCGATTAGCGGAGTTCTCGGACCTAGGAACGTGATGTTACTCATCCCCACCCCCTGCCGTCCCATGATCTGCCCACCTCCGTGCTCCCCGCCACCCGCCCTCCGCCTCTCTTTTTCCTCACGCTGCCCCGCAGGCGTGATGACGAGTCGCGCTCGCGCTCGCGTGACCGGCGCCGCCGCTGAGCGGGCCCTAACGCGAATCATGGTAAGTCCAGCTTGGGGGATACTTAGATTTCTGACGTTTCCCTGAGGCCGGAGAAGGGTCAGGGGAGGAACACATCTACATACATATATATATATATATATATATATATATATATATATAATATACATATATACATCAATAAATATATAGATAGACTTGTGGAGAGCCCTCGTCGCCACAGCTGGATATTCTCGAAACTCTGGCGAGAATGCGCCCCGGGAGGTGTCCAGGGAGCGGTGGTATCGGTACGTTTTTGACCCCTTGGAGGCGGTGTGAGAGGAGGAGGGTGACAAGCATGGGGAGTACGAGGAGGAGGACAAGCATAGGGAGTAGGAGGAGTAGGAGGAGGAGAAGCTCGCAGTGGTTTTTCGCACCGCGGGTCGCAGGAGAAGGAGGAGGAGAACGTAGTAGGATCAAGGCCGCCAGGTTCGAGAAGGGACGGGCGGGAGGATGAGGAGGAGGTGGACGGGCAGGACGAGACAGAGTGACGGGGGGACGGAGGGACTCGCTGGCAATGGCTTGCTGAAGCATGGCATTCAGCGCAGCGACCGCCCAGAGGTCTCGAAGTACGCTTTCAAACTTCGAACTGCTCTAGCAAGTCCTCGCGCTGCTTGTCTGGTGGTGCTGCTTGCCACTCTTTATACTTTATCTGGCTGCGTTACGCGGATGTAGGTTAGCCATTTAGTTGAGAAGAGCAGCGGTCGCATAGATTGTTTCTTATCATATGGCTCGTAACGGTCGTTACCCGGGTGATATGACTTCTTCAATCCTGGCGTTTTGCCTCGATGTCGGTTGTTTGGGGGGCCGTTGCTGAGTCCCAGGGCAATCAAAAGCGGATTCAGGGCGAAAAGTTGTCCCACTTGAAGAGGTCGGGAGTTCTGGGGCCACGGATTAACAAGATCATACTGGCGGGTGCCTGGGTCCCTCTCTCCCTCTTCCAGAGATTGTGTTTCATGTTCTGGCGCGTGCAGGTCGCTACCCGGGTCCACCCCCCCGGGTAACAGTAACGATCGTACGTAGAGGGTATGGGGGCGTTGGACCAGAAATGGGACGGATTACAATTGAGTCGGGCGAGTTCCAATCATGTTGGTACCACTTCCAACCAAACTGGTGCCAATTGCAGACGGCTTGGAAGTTCCTCAGAAAATGCTCAGAGATTGCTGAGACATTCGTCAGGTTTCCACGGAGATGCCTTACACATTCCTCCGGATTCCTTAGAGATGAGAGAGATTCCATCAAGATTGTTTGGAAATGCCTCGGAGATTCCTTTGAGATGCTCCAATGGTTCCAGAAATTTGTTTTCAGAGATTCCGTAGATCTTCACAGATTCCTGAGAGATCCTATTAGGATCCCTCCTTCTCCTCCTCCTCCTCCTCCTTCTCCTCCTCCTCCTCCTCTCCCTCCTCCTCCTCCTCCTCCGCCACCTCCTCCTCCTCCTGGGCCACCTCCTCCTCCTCCTGGGCCTCCTCCTCCTCCTCCTCCTCCTGGGCGCCGAATTGCCCCACTCCGCCCACGCGTTGCCGTCGTCCGGGCCTCCCCCCGCTTGTAACGACCGCTGCCATCAACAATAAGAAACAGTCTCGTAGATGGTTCCAGCGAGCCCCAGGACGGGGCAGACTTACACCATATCACTATTGGCGGCATCGGTGCGCGCGGCAAGCGAGCCATGTGCGCTTGCATATTGTTGTCAAAGGAGCAAAGAAAAATTGGGCCACGCATGCCGATTTCGTTAGTTCTTGCGCGTGCATCGTCTGATGTTTTGCGGATCTCTACAATTATAGTGCAGTGCTGGCGGACTACAGCTTTATTCCCAAATCAGCCCGCAGCGCATGTCCCGCCTCGTGATTGCCCACAGACGCGATGGACTTAATCGTATTGTTTTTGCAGCGCGGCTTCAGGCAGTCGTCGATTGCCAGAGAAACATCAGCGTCCCAAGCTTGGCAAACGAAGTCTCACTGAAGTTTACTTCCAACGCCCGTCCAACTAATGTTAGTCCTGTGCGGCAAGCGACCTGAATCCGCAGTGCGAATTGCCAGTCCGTTCGAATGAACCTGGCTGGCAAGAACGATCACAAGAGTGGCGGGAAGGGTAGCACGCAAGCAGAGGTGGATGCAAAGGTTAGCCAGGCGGTCTCAATTCTTTTCGTGATTGGATCCCGTCTCCGACAGCCTGATGTGTTCAATGTGGCTCCCAGGAGTCTGCCGCAGAGATGTCGTACGGACTTTTTGGTCCGCAGCGCCAGCAGTCGCCCACGCGTTTGGCAAGCCTGCGGGCACCGCGGGCCAGGGGCACAGTAACACAGATGGAAAAGAGGGGGGCGGCCGCAGAGGAGGGCGAGCGGGACGAGGCCCCAAGACATAGGGAGTCAACGCATTGAGGAGCGCGCAGGCAGCATCAGGCACCTGGAGCCGGTGTGCTAGCAGGTGTGCGGGTCGAGTGCCGCAAGGACACGTTGTTACAATTGGTGTTGAGGATTCGGCGAGTACTGGGTCCTCTTGTTGAGTATGAGCGGACCTGGCCCCTGGGCAAGAGGATTGACTCTCCAGCCGTCCTCACGAAGTTAACCAGCTGACGCTCGCGATCTCTTGCCGAGCATCACTTGTCCAAATGCTGTGCCATATTTGCAGTGCGAGCAGTGGGATGATCCTGCAGAGTGTCTTCGCCGTCCTTATCCTCGTCCCCCCTGCTACTGATGGTATTTTAACTCCCTCCCCGCTACTGCTCCCCATCCCCGTCATCTTCCTCATCCTCAGACTCCTCCTCTTGGCAGTGGAGCACGAGGCACGATCTTGCAGAGAGTCCTTCCCGCATCCCTGCTCATTCTTTGCCAGTCCTCTGTCAGGAGTCCTCCGCATCCTCGCCCTCTTCAGCGCTCTTGTAGAGTTCTCGCGCCCAAATTGCCCACCGCTCATCCTGCTGCCTCCTGTGCCGGTACAACAGCGTCGCAATAATGATTCTGAATTGTTTCAGTTTCGCGTATCCCTACGAGCTCATCGAGGAACTATGCCCAAGGGAACTGCCCTTATCGCGGGAGCGTGGCATCATTTGGAGAGCTCGGAGAGCCTTCGTGGGCCAGAGGCGTCTTGTACGGTTTCGGGAGTGTTTTGGGATTTCGCTTGGGGTCTCTTGGGAGCCTCCTGGCGGCTCTTTTGCGCGTCCTGGGGTGCCTAATGGGCACCTCTAGGGGGCCTCTTGCGACGTCTTGAAGGCCTTGCGCAGGTCTTCATAGCCTCTTTGGGCGCTTTGGGCTGCGTCTTGGTGGCCTCTTGGGGGCCTCTCGCGGGCTGCTCTGGGAGGCCTCTTGAGGTCGTCCGGGGTCCGACTTGGTGCCCCCATTGAGGGGCGCATGGGCTGTCTTGGAGCTATTTTGGAGGCATCTTGGGCAATCTTTGTCTGTCGCAAGCCCAAACAGGCGAGAACCTGAGAATCTTCCAAACGCCTGCGGAACAGAAGTGGTGGTTGCCTCTTCGGGCTCTCTTGGGAAGTTTATTGGAGCCCTCTAGGTCTGTCTTGGAGGCCTCTTCGGCTATCTTGAGACTGTATTGGGGCCTCTTGACTGATCTTGGGCCATCTTGGGCCGTCTTAGTGTCGTCTAGACTGTCCTGGAAACAGACTTAGAAGCCACCTTGGCCGTCTTGAGGCAGAACAACCCGCTGGAGAGCAATTTCAGCGGAGGCGGTTTCCGAACGATTGTCGGCCCCCAGAAAACACATTGAAACACTTCCCAGGCAACAGAAAGGCATTCTGACACGCCCACGCCATGCAGGCACTGTGGAGGATGTTGATCAAGTCCGATGTTCATGTCGAAATGCATTTCGCACAGGGCAACCGCGAGGCGACCCACGGATCAGCCCACGGGTGAACACAGGACAACCTAACTTCGCGGCTCCCCACGGCGTATGCGTCAATTTTGCGCCCGGCTTGGCCTCAACCGCGGCCGACACATCGTCGCCCCCGCGCAGCTGCGCCTCGCCCTAACGCGCGCGGCACGAACCGACACTTTGCCTGTCCATGGTCTCTTTGGGGTCCCGAGACATCGGCCCCCCAGGCGGCGGATACTCCTTAATTCCTGCTCGGGGACGGATTGAGGCAAGGTCGGGGGGGCGAGAAAGGAGGGGAGAGAGGGAACGGTTGCGGATACGGATCTATTTTCGGGGCGGGGCTCAGAGCCCTGCCGGGCTAACGCCTCGTTTTCGTTCTGAGGCCGCCACGGGCACGGCACGCCCCCCAAAAACACCAGCCTGCGAACCGCTCGAGCGAGGGAGCCAGATCTCGGGCAAGTTCTAGGAAGCACGAGGGTTGGCAGGACCTCCGTCTGATGCATGATGGAGCCTGGGCAGGATCAGAGGAGGTCAGAACGCACCAGCTTCTTGTCAGGCGCATTGGGAGGTGGCCTACAGCCTGCGGTGGAGGCAGGTCGAGGGAGCAGGAGAGGGTGAGAGGAGAAGCATGAGGAGGAGGAGGAGGAGAAGAAGAAGGAGGAGGAGGAGGAAGAGGAGGAGGGAGCTCTGGGGAGGTGGAGGGAGGTGGTTGGAGGTGGCGAAAGCGGGAGGAGGAGGAGGAGGAGGAGGAGGAGGAGGACCAGTGCAACCCAAGAGTCATCAACGATGTTGGGATAAACCCTCCCTCCAAGCAGCCTCTTCATGGGCCCCTACAGCGGTTCATGTCCACTGAGAGCGATACGCGTTGCCAGGTGGCTCAGGGACGAAACCGGCTCGTCTGACGAGGCCGCCACCCTGGTGAAACTGCATACTTGCCCGCTCGTCGTGCTCAAGGCGGGGTCTGCTCTCGCAACGCTGAGCGCCCGCACCGTCGACATGCACACTGGCTCCCGGAGCGGCGGCGCAGCCGGGCGCATCCCGCTGTTGGATGTGGCGTCGCAGCGGATGCATTTCTGGCAGACGCTCGGCTTTGAAGGCACAGGCCTGGTATCTTTCATGGACAACCTCGTCGCGGCGTCCAAGGATCCAGCTGCTGC